AATTCGACACGACACGAAAGAAATCAGACGGGTCTAAAACCATTGAAAATTGGCCCTTTTCGAAGCAAAGGCGTGATACACCGCGAAATTCTTAACTTCAGAAAGCTATTGAGAATTTCCTGGAAAGAAAAACTGAATAACTGTCCTGACCCGGAAATCGAACTCATGATCACAACACTAACAAGGCAGTCACAACAATTTACAGGCAGGTACATCGGAAACAAACGAAAACACAGTGGTAGAGCCATGCTGCAGCTATATTAAAGACATAAAGACATAAAGACATAAAGACATTTATTCCGACACTTCATATTACAATGACAAATTAATAAACAAAATTAATACGAATAATAAAATAATAATAAAAAAAAAATAAAACACAAGAAAATGAATAAACAAAAAAATAGAGGATATAACAACAATTAATGACTTGATAATCGAAACAGATGAAGTGGCGGAAGGGACCGCCTCAGCATAAGCCGCGGGATAGCGACGCTGATTTTCAGTCGGCCCCATACGGTCCTACGGAGACCGTGCCGTAAGTGTCGACATTAAGCGAGTAGTAGATACATATGACAATAACAACTGATGAATGACAATAACAAAATGCGTATTGTATAGTTGTGCTGAATGTAAGTTACTGAACGCTACGTTAGATGTGACGGGAACATTAGTAAGTGTCATAATATAATTTAACAGTGTATATTATAAAATCACTAGCTGGCCAGGCAGACGTTGTTCTGCCCTTAGCGGGGAACCTTTGTAGGTACTATAAAATCCTTAAATTTGCAATAAAAAAATTGAGGGTCACTTATCGGGATAAAAACTATCCTATGTCTCAAGCTGGACCAAACTGCACAGAGTGTACAAATTTGGGGTGAGTGGTTTCGGAGTTCATCGCGGACAAACAACGTGACACGAAATTTTTATATATAAAGATAATGTAATGTATGATTTGTTATATATACACACACATACATACACACATACAAACATACACATACATACACACACATATAATATTTATACACATATACATATACATACACACACATATATATACACACATACACACGTATACATATATATACATAGATACATACGTTTAATAGGCTTTTTGTAATATAGTTAATAGTATAGTTGTAGCACGAATGGGTCGGCTCGACCGGGGAAGGACCACGCTCTCACAGGATACCAGCGTAAAATAGCAGCTTAATGCTGCTGTGTTTCGTAAGGTGAGTGTAGAGAACCGGAGACCCTTTTTACTGGAAAAGAGGCACTCAATCTTAGTCCTCACGGCTGACAACGCATCTGCATTTTATTTCGCAAACGAAGATAGATGTAGATGTCTACGGGCCGCAGCAACCACTTACCATCAGGTGGACTGTGTGCTCGTTTGTCATCCTTATTCTATAAAACAAAAAATGCAGTCAAAACATTCTCCTCATAATATGAAGTCGTTTATATAGTCTAGTCAACAAGTTCCAAAATGTGTTAACTCTTGTTCCCGCTCTTAAAAATATGTGCGATAGTTCATTCGATTTAGAATTTTTCGAAATTCTATCTCCATCGTTTATTATTTTTATATAAGTATAACGCCGTAAATAGGACTCCGCTCGACCGTTATGGCTAGAGCGCATCGCCGCTGAAAGCAGTATATCACATAAAATATTTTTTTTTATATTATTAAATATTAATCTATAAATTTGAAAAAATTATGGTAACATCAGAACACTTGACTAAATAAAGCCCAGTTGGAAAGAAATATATCGATTTCTCAAAAAGTTATACGATTGTTACCTATAATTTTTTTCTTCTTGGAATTCTATTTATATACATAATTAACAAGATCACGTGTACAAACAATTAAAAAATATTTCACAATTAAAAAAAAATGAATTATTTTTAATTATTAAACTTGTCTATTTGTTTATAAACAATTTTTCCTGTGTTTATTAATGTTATTGTTAGATGCAAAAAAGCAATATAATTACATTTCCAAAAAAAATAACAAATTATTTAATACAGAGAAATTATTTAGGAGAGATACATTTTTCTAGACGTCATTTCGAATCGAATAAGCCATTGCACATATTTTAAAGAGCGGGAACAAGAATTAACACGTCTTTGAACTTGTTGACTAGACTAATTAATGAAATATGAAAGTAGTCTAGTTAAAACATGAAAAAGAGAAAAATAGTTTTAAATTAACATTTTATTTAAATACCTAAAAATGATGAACCCTGATGTAGAATATAGATATAATTTATCTTAAAATCTTAAGAATACTATCATTTTGGATTGTTTCTTCTCTTCAGTCGTTTCAACGTGTTTATTACCGGATCATTTGCAAAAGTTTGTATTTTATCACCATTAAAGAAGGCCTCTATATCTTCTAAAATAATGCCCTCTGTTTCCGGTAAGAAAAAGTATAACAAAATTGTTCCGAGGAAACCAAATGCGGCGTATACGGCAAAGATGCCCCACAGTCTTCCATATGTTTCCAGATCAAGCAGAGTTTTTGTGCCGATGAACGTGAAAACGTAGAAGCATGCTGCGGCAATACCTTGAGCAGTCGCGCGACTCCTGTTGACAATATTTTAAATAATATGTTATATTTAGTCTTTATTTAAAATAAAGAGTTTTGTAAGCAGAAACAAACAAAACAAATACATAAATTACTAAACTTCTTATACGGTACCATGAAATGAAAAATAGTTGAATAAGTTACAGTCCAAGACAAAAGATGAACGAATAGATTCATATTAGAATAACTGTGCTCACGACTTCGTTCGTATAGAATCTTTATTAGTAGTTTATCTACGGGCACCAACGATAAGGTTTGAGACGTCTTGTATTGTTCCTATACCTTCCTTGCGCATTGCCTGCCAATCGTGACGTCTATAATAGACCGTATATTATATATATATATATATATATATATATATAGTTTGCAGTATAGTTTCACGGAGAGACCTAAAAAAGGCGACCGCTCAGACCCGTACAACTAACAGGCCTATCGCCATCACCTCCTTATTCTCCAAAATAATGGAATCCATTATAAACTGCCAGTTCATGAGGTACCTTGAGGATCACCAGCTGATTAGTACCGCCAGTACGGTTTTCGTCGGGATCGATCAACTGATGATCTTCTGGTCTACCTGACTCATAGATGGGCGGAGGCAGTGGAGTCGAAGGGGGAGGCATTGGCCGTTAGTTTGGACATAGGGAAGGCCTTTGGTCGGGTCTTGCACAAAGCGCTTCTTTCGAAGCTTCTTTCCTATGGGCTTCCCGAGAAATTGTGCAAATGGATCACCAGTTTCCTTGCAGATCGGAGCATCAAGGTCGTAGTAGACGGTGCATGTTCTGATTTCAAGCCTGTCAACGCTGGTGTTCCACAAAGCTGCGTGCTATCACCAACGCTGTTTCTCCTGCATATTAATGATATGTTGCAAACTAGTAAAATTCATTCCTATGCAGACGACAGCACTGGTGATGCCTTATATACCGACCGTGCCAATATTTCCCGGAAAAACGTCGCCGAGTACCGGGACAAACTTGTGTCTGAAGTCGAGTCTTTGCTGATCAAAGTCTCGGATTGAGGGCAACTAAATCTAGTACAGTTCAATCCCAAAAAAGAACCCCTTTATATCTCCTCAGTTTCAAGTGTGCTCTGAGTGCTCTGAGGAATTGTTCGAATTAATTCCAGCCACCAAATTTCACGAACGCACATCGCGTTAAAATTCACGATACCATCCTCACCATCTGGATGCTTGGTGATCCACGACTGTGCGTTTTACTAGGAGTTTTCTTCCTCGTACAACTTCTCTATGGAATTGTTTACCACCGGCGATTTTTCCGGACCGATACGACTTAGGTAACTTCAAGTAAAGAGCTTACACCTTTCTAAAAGGCCCGCAACGCATCTGCAATTCCCCTGGTGTTGCGATTGTCATGGGCGGCGGTAGTCACTTACCGTCAGGTGAGCCGCATGCTCGTTTGCCCCTTCTTCTATAAAAAAAATACATAATGATAAAACATGGAATAATAAAAAAAAACTAAATAATAAATACAATTATCACTAAACACATAAATGTTAGTTGATTATATTATTTAATTTATTAAAATTTTCTTTTTTATTATCGTAGTTTTTAATATTGTAGATAAAATATAATATGAAAAAAATTTATTAGTAACTTAAATAATACAAACAACTTCACTGTTTTCTAGGCATCATTCCCCTCGGAAAGCTTCATTGGTGCCCTCATGTCATATATCTAAACTACTAATCAGACTAAATTCTGCAGCTCATGCAGTAAATATGATTACAAGTCTCACTAGTATATCAAGGACGCAAGATTTGTTTGTCTCAGTTATTTCCATGTCTTATGGGATTATGCTATGGGAAAATGCGGCTGACTTATTTACTATGTTTCTTTTGCAGAAGAGGGCTATACGAACTATTTTAACTTGACTTGTGATAAGCTCTAGTGATGGTTATAGTGAGTGAATTTAATCTACATAATTCTTTGTAAAACTTTGTGTACTTGGCTAAATCTAGATGTAAAGTAATATAATAATAGTAGTTTAGTAGGTAGTAAGATAGGTTTAAGTGGCTATAACTTAAACAGAGCAACTGTCAGATAGAGTGATTATTTGGCAAGACGTTGGGGGATGCTTGTTAGATACGTTGGAAGGTAAGAATGGTATAGCGTGTGTTGTGGCGGTCCCATAAAGAAAAGCTTTATTTGCAAGCAAGAGTGAATAACTGGCGCACAGTTCTCCTGGTGATAATACTATATCCGATGAATACCTACATCGATCTTCAACGTGGTGATAATAATAATTGTACTAAGGTAAATTCCTCGTTAATAGTTGAAAGCCGTATTTTACACAAATGATCTACGCTTATGCTGGATTGGGTTTCAACTGCTGAAATGTTTTATGTTGATTTTATACGCAATAAATATTGGTAAATAAAATACAATTTTTAGTATTACCTGAAGGGGAAAACTTCTCCAACCAGGATCCATGGTAAGTTGGTTCCAGAAAAAAAAGCCATTAAGTAGAATAAAATTAAAGGGACATAACTCTGTTCCTTGGGAAAGGTTGTGGTGTCGTAGGAAAATACTGAGTCACTTAAATTATTTCTCGCATATACGCTTAAAGCTGTACTGGAAATGGCTGTTCCAAGCATAGATATCATGGCCATTTTACGTTTCCCAACTTTCCTTATCGTAACGATGATGAAGATGCTTGCAATTATACTTATGATGCCGAAGTATATCTGGGCAAAGGCACAAAAATGTATTAGAGTTGTAAACTTTATCATTTGATTGTGGTATGAAAGCGCGGCTCCTGGGTGTGAACCCCAGCCGCAGACAAAACAATTAAAAATTTAAAGTAGCAACCTATAGAATAAAATAGAATAGAATGGAATGGAATGTGAATGTTCCATCAGAATCGGTCAAGCGAATCTTGAAATACTGCTTCACCCCTTTATTGCATGAAGTCGCGTAGAAAGTAAAGTTCTTTGTTCATTCATACATTCATTCATTCATTACTATACTACTACTATTATTAAAAATCCTCTACATGGCGTACTATAGTCTAATAATCAAGTATACCATAATAATAACATTTACCTGTAAATATTTGCCATGGAAATTATACATCCAGGCAATGAATGGGGAAGGTCTATGTTAAAAAATGAACTATAATAGGCTGTAACAAAACTGGCTTCATTAAATCCACTCAAAAATAAAACAGAAACCAACAAAAATGCTTTGCAGTTGGATCAATAGTTACGCTGCTCCAGTGCGTGTTGGCGAACTGTATGTCTTCGAAATATTTTATTTTTCAATTATGCAGGCTACCTCACGATTTTATCCTTTATCAATCGCATATCCTTTATTTACATATATAAAACACAAAAAATGTTTCTACCTATATCCGTTATAGACTATTTGAAACCAACCGATGCGATGTGCCCCAAACTGGTTTCATTAGAAAGGCAATAATGCGAAGATGGATTTAGACGACTAAAACAATAACAGTCTTATTCCAAAAAAATGTTTTAGTACTGGGTTAAGTTTAGGAGTAAGAAGTCCAGGTTTGTTACAATATTCTAGTTAATACCAGCACTAAAACGTGTGCTTATTACAAAACGCAGACTACCCGAGGACCAGTTAATACCAACGTTAGTATTATATTAAATATCATTCACAGATAAAAAACAAAAAATGACACTCTATCATTCGTTCATACAGGTTTCATTCAATGCAACGTTCGGTTTCATAAAATATTAATATTATTTTCACATTTAATTATGCTTAAATAATTATCCATCAATACAAAAACATATCATACATTGTTATTTGTTTACGTTAAAATCTATTGAACAAGCACGACATATACTTTTGACGCGCTTTTGATTATATCAAGTTGTTTTCAGTTTAACAACTCTAGCGTGAAATGTAGTGAATTACAGAGGTAACGCGAGCGCGGGATTTGAGACGTTCAAAATAGTTTATATTGCAGCCTTATAATAAGTAAATTAAATTATTAATAATTAATTAAGTACTTGCTATTACAGTTATATTTATATAATAATGGAACAAAAGAAAAAACGGGGTGAAAATTGGAGTTCTGAAGAAAAAGTTAGTGAAATATCGAAATTTGTCAGTACGTAGCAATACTCTTATCCTCCTATTATCCTTATTTCAACTAAAAGGAATGTTCTTATTATTATAGGAAATATTACGTACACTTATTTCACAATCAGCACATATAATAGAGAATAAGTCGACAAAAACATCGGTAAATATTCAAAAAATAAAAGAGTGGAAGAATATAACTAATAAGTAAGTACTTATCGCATTTGTTATGTGTACAAATAGGTATGGTATTGTTTACGTGATTTCGTATTTTTTTTTAGATTTAATGAGATAACAGGTAAACGCCGATCAGATGGTGAATTGAAATTATCTTGGAAAAGAACGAAGTTGTGTGCTAAATCAAACTTATACACATATAGGAGGAAACAATCAAAGACCGGGGGTGGCGGAAAACCTCCATCACCTTCTCTTGAGGACTTGGAAATAATGTCCATTGCCCCTCACGACTTTATCGTTGAAGTAAATAATTATGATAGTGATGCAGTGGTAAATAAAATTACTTACATGTCTTACAAATTTAATTAAAATTAAAGAACTTTATTTTCCATTACTTTAGTACCTAAGTAGTGCTCTGAAATCTACTCTTAAAGCATACAATTTACAATCCAAAATTATTTTCCGAATATTCAAAATTTAATATACTTAGTAACAATTTAACATAAATTTCTTTATAATTAATTATATTCAAAATTGAAATGTCACAAATTCATATATAGTGGTCTATATAATATCATAACACACATTTTACTAGATTATCTACACAGTCCGATTATAATTTTCTATTTTTGTCTATTAGGTATTATAATTAATAATTTATTAAATTACCTTTTGTCTTGGATCATAATAATATTTCTACAACATAGAAAATACCTGATTCAATAAAGGGCAAAATAGAGATGACAGGTGACAGGAAAACATGTTAATAAATGTTTTAATGATTTATTTTAGGATCCAGTGACTGTGGCTACAACATCAAAAGAAGTTGCTGACCCTAAGCCTCGCCTTAATTTTGAAAAAAACAGACACAGCTATAGTTAAAAATGTAGAAAATCCAGAACCCAATGTTGTATATGTGCAAGGTAAATAATACTGATTGAATATTTATTAAAAAGCAAAATATATTATTATTATAGTTACAATCATATGCATACAAGTTTGTAAATATTATAAATGTTAATTTTCTAAAACTGTTATATTTATATTAATTTTTAGAGATAGATCCAACTACAGATACAGAAGAAAGTGCCAAAATGGTGAAAATAACCAACAATAAAGATATTATTACTAGGGGTATAACAAAAATTAAAAACAGGAAAAATAGCTTGCAAAATAGGTATGTTGAAAAAATTACATAGTCTGATACATTACATACTTTTTAAAATGTGAAAATTAGTATTTAAACACTGAAAATTGTTTCATGTTTTCAAATATTAAAAGCAAAGTTTAATATGAATTGATTTAAAAATAATTAAAAAATATTTCTTTAATTGGTGTACAAGGTTAAGTGCACTTTTATTACTCTAGAATACTTTGTAAATTTCTAAAATAACTACAAAACTTACATTAAGTATTCCATTTCATTTTACAGAAGAGAAGATGTACACCAAACAATTGTAAAAAGTAACACAGATTTTAAAAAAAGACAACTGGAAATGATGGAAGAGGAACATAAATACAATATTAAAATAGCTAACCTAAAAATTAGAAAATTAGAGTTACAAATATTTTTATTAGAAAGTCAGAAAAACACAAGTTAAATAGCAACTTAATGCTGCTGTGTTTATTATGGTGAGTTTATAGAATGAGAATAGAATAGAATGATTTTTATTAAATATAGATTATTACAGAATACTTATTGAAAGACTAAATACTAGTAAGAAACCCAGCGGGACTTTTTTATAAACATATTTCTCTTAACAATAATTTTATTTGTACAATTTTTAAATGAATTTTAATAGAACCACCATGGTGGCGATCACCTCAATTCCAGTATTTCCAATATTCTCATTTATGTATTCTTTGATATTATAATAACCTTTTTATAAAATTTTTCTTTAATAAAACATTTAAACTTGTTTATTGACAAATTTTCGATAAATTTTTGTACAAAGTTTGTATGAGAGAGACCTCTTTTACAGGAAACGAGGCATTCCATCTTACTCCACACGGGTGACAACGCATCTGCATTTTGATTTGTAGTCGAGGATAGATGTGGACGTCTATGCACCACAGCAGTTACTTAACATCAGATGGACTGTGTGTGTGTATGTGTGTGTGTGGTAGACTGTGTTTATCACCATTATCCTATAAAAAAAACTAAATATTTGAGACTATATCAGATACATGTTTGTAAATATCCTCATATATGAAACAATTATTTTCAGGTACTAAATTGCTGCAAATATTTGTACATCTTTTATTAATAATTAAAATAAATAATTATAATTAATATGCATTTTATTTACATAACAATGAAATATAATATACAATAGTAAAAAACTATAATAAAAAAAACTAAACCTAATTACTTAGTCATCATACAGTCCTACTCCCCGTGGACCCTTGCACCTCTGGAAAGGAAATCTGGCTGTGAATGTAGAGGAGGGACGATATTTATTAAAAAATCTAAACATATCTCTAAAGCACTTAAATCTTTATATAATATAGCTTCATATTGATGTGGAATGTGCTGTACCCCGCATCTTTCCCTGAAACACAATCATTTATAGCCTAAATAAAAGCATTTTGCTCAATAAATGAAATATTATCACAATACTCCCCTGAATTTATTTCATATTGGTGAATATGTAGTCGTTATTCTTTGACAGCTGACAACGGCTCTGCAGAAATATTTTCCTTTATAAATGGGTATTATCTCTGAAATCAAAAAGAAATATTATTATAATTGTCTTATACATTTATTGATCCTTAATGTAATTTTATAGCCAAAATTGGCCTCTGAATAACAAAATAAAATAAATTATATATACATAGCTTTAGACAATTGAAAAAAAATTGACAATTTTATAAATATAATTATTAATTTTAATTATAAATAGCTATATAAATATGTAAAAAAAAATGTTTACCTACTGAAAATGAGTTTCAATAAACTGTCTTCTTCTAATATTTCCCCTTATTGATGGTGCAATATATCTTTGTACTATAGGTTCAGATGAATATTGTTCAATGCTATCTCTCTCACCAGAAAACACATCTTCTCTCATGTCGATGGCCATATTGTGTAGTACAGCACATGCAACAATTGTTTTTTTTGCTGTTTCAATATCTCCAAACATACCTCTTAATAGGCAACGAAACCGTTGCTTCCACAAACCAAAACATCTTTCCACTGTGTTCCTGGTACGGATATGGCTCCTATTATATCTTTCTTCTTGTGGTGTTGTGGGGTTCAGCAGCGGTGTAAATAGGTAAGGGGTACAAGGATAGCCACTGTCACCAAGTAATATTCCAGAGAATGCACCAGCCTCAAACCTCTGTTTTAGTCTACATTCTCGGAATATTCTGGAGTCATGTACACTACCACGCCACCTGGTAACAATGTCCATGATTTTCAGGTCAGCGTCACAAACCACCTGTAAAATAAGAGCTCATTAGTACTTTATGTTTTTCTGGTTTATTTTAATATATATTTATTACCATAAGATAGTCAAACAAATTATTTTCTATTATGATAAAGTAAAGTTATTAAGAGACAATCACAGCTATTTAAAATATTTGTATATTACCTGTACATTAATTGAAGAAAATCCTTTTCTATTAATATATAACTGACCCCCATCAGCATTCACTTTCTTTACTCGTATGTGAGTACAGTCAATTGCGCCAATTACTGTAGGAAAATTAGCAATACTGCGAAATTTCCTAATGGTTTCCTGCTGTTCATTTAAAGTAGTAGGCATTTTAATAAATTCTCGGGACTTCCGTGACAAAATTTCCGCTACTTTTTTACATGTCCTACTTACTACTGGTTGAGACACACCATGTAAATCAGCTGTATCGTCTTGAATCTACGAATAAAACAATAATATGTATTATCTGGCTTTTTATCTAGCGTAATGTTAGGTACATTGACCCCACCAAGATTATAAACAGCACTTACTTCATGGCGAGCCCAGTTGCGTAATGCACAAACCACTTGAATTTCAGGACTCAATGGGCATCCTCGAGGGTCGTGCACTAAATCCTCACGTAAGATACCCACTATTTTTTCTCCGAAACGTTTTGAGAACCTATACTTATACCTAAAATCTTCGTCACTCAATTCAAACGGATTCACACGATGTCGATGTCTATCAGGTCGCCGAGTAGTGTCTAGCATGTCCAAATCTTCTAGATCCATCAAGTCAATCATGTTAATATCCATTTTTAACGATTTTAATAACACCAAATGAAAACAACGCTCACCTCAAATTAAGAAGTACCGAAATTGAGGTTAGTATAGAGTAGAGTACCACAAACTATATAGAAAGGTTAGTACCATAGCTAAACTAGGGGTCTCGAAAGATTAACTTTAATACCATAGATAATCCTTGAACCAGAGATAATCTTCGTTTTGTAATAACGTTTTTCTTAGTTTATGGTTTAAATATATTACTAACTCCAGTACTATATTAAGTCCGTGTTTTGGAATAAGGCGGTAAATGTTTTCTACAAATAAACAAAATATATTTCTTTTTTTTAGCGTAGTAGCACACGCCGCGTATTCGCTAGTCATGATATAAATGCACTTAAATATGCAATTAACAATTTCATTGGTTTTCAATTTCATTGAAATTTACGGTGGGTGCTTAGCCCCTGTGCTACCACGGCCCTAGTTATAGCTAAGGTAACAAAAATGTGCAAAAACAAAAATTGTTGGTAATAAAACACAAATTGTTGTTAATTTTAATTTGGGTGTACTCAAAATTCATACACGCGATGTAGGTTAAGACGAAATTGCATTATTTGCTTGCAGCAATATTTGGGACACATATTATCACCTCGATAATTCCGGATTATTCGAAAGTTTTGTTGTATACAAAATCGATGTGGGATAAATTGACTTGGGGAATATCTGAAAAGTCTTGTTACTACTCTATGTGGTATGTTTAGTATTATGATCTACTAGGCGTATTCCCATTGCTTACCTTTAAAACTGGCAACGCCTATAAATGAACTCCTTGTACTTATCTATAGGAATTCCATAATATTACGTGGGAATAAATTGTGAAAGTACAGCTAATGATATAAATTAACGTACGTATAAATTAACCTACCTTAATCAAAATAAATATTTTTATGCTGCTTTGTAATTTTATGAATGATTGATATAAATTTTCATAAGAAAATTTCACCGCAATGAAATATATTATGGTCTTTTCCGCAAGAAATTTACATTTTTATATCTAAGTAAGTATGTATTGTTACTAGCTTGGGATTCGAGACAATTAAAAACTGCCGAGTTAATTACCAAAATTGACACTTTAATTACAGAACTTCAAGTACAACTTAAAACCACACTAATAATAAAACACAATTGTACTACTGATCACTTTAGTTTGCAGTTGTATCGCTTTGAAGTATTCGCTTGTATCGCCAATTCAATACTGACTCTGGTCGCGGTCTATACCGGCCTTATATTGGGCCTCAGATAATTTCTGGAACCTTCTACTGTAGTAACATCTAGAATGTTCGAGTACATATCGGCCCCGACTGACTAGGTGTCAATAGTTCTAGAAATTTCTGCCATGGAAATTTCTAGAAGGATCATGACTCTCCTAGTTCTGCTACTCAATACTAGAGGGCGCTAGAGGTAACTAGTCCTATCATGTACCACTTATTAATGGTGGCACGCAACAGTATTAAGAACTCTCATGTCTAAACCACATTTCTAAGCCTCAATAAACCTCAGCGACATAAAATCAATGATTTAGAAAGCGAGAGGGAACTTACAATAATTTCTTTTCCATCCTGTGCCATACCAAAAGCACCGCAGATGTTAACTAAGTTTGGTTTCAGGGGTGTGACACCACTCATTATGTAGAACAAGAAGTAAATAATTATGAAAATCAACGGTCTCAGCGTCTCCTTGGTAATAATAACGTGTCGGAACTTATACAGTGATCTGAAAGAAAAAAAATGACGGTAGAAGTAATTAAAAATATACGGCTTATTGTTTTCTAAAATAATTAAATAAACATGGCTCCATTGTAATTAGAAGAAAATATATAATGTCAGCGTCTGACTAATCATTGCACTCCTCTCCGCTGAGTTCAAAGCTGTTAGATTGTATTTTACAACAGTCGTTGAAGAAGTACTCAATCCATGACCAAACTTATGATTAGTATAACGTAAGAATTTGTCCCAGCGTGAAATACCGCCGCACCTTCGCAAGGACAAGGTCTTTAGGCTTAATGAACTAGGGGCCGTGACCATATTCCAACAATATGTCTTGAAATAAGGAAGGCAAGTTAAGCGAACTTCTTTTCGCGGCTAAGAGACACATTTGTGTTTTCGAGGCACTTGAAAACTCTTGGACGAGCAGTCGACTACAACGACTCGGGTGTTCACTCAAAAAGTTTTTCACTTAGGTCAGGGCATAATTTTACTAGAAGCTTTACTAAAGGTTTGTACACCAATACAAATTCTGTCAAAGGCTTTCTGAGATATAAAAGGAAACAGCCATTTCGTCCTATGATGCGCCGTGCATGACAAATACAAAATGGCGCACTATTAAGGTTGTGGATGAGTGGGTATTATGACGACAAAATATCTAAGTGGTAGGACTCCTCTTCTGTCTAGGAAATCATCTGGGTAAGTAAGTATTTGGTAGCAAGCCTTTGTGTTCTGGCGTGACGAATACAGAGAGCCAGTGTAATTGTGAGGCATTTCATCTAAGACCTTAGATATGACAACGCATCTGTACCCTTTTTTGTAAGAAAATGGTTGCAAGTAGATTGCAGTAGCCACTAACCATGAGGTGAACTGTAAGTTTGTTAGTTACTTCAATTTTATAAAATAAAATCCGCTCATCCTGACTTTCTTCGTAAGTGTCATTAAATTTGATGACAATGTTTAGTAGCATCTAATAGCAGCTATTGCTAATCTGTTAGAAACGTGCAGTAATTATGTAAAATTAACCCAATTTAGATGTGACTAATGTACAATAATAGATTCTTTTTAAAGTATCTTGATGGTCTATATTTATCATTAGTTATAATTAGGCAGTATTAAAAAATCCATGACTACGATATGGATTTTCTTTGACGTTATCATTGTAGCTTTTTATCGTTTAACAAAATTTATTACCTTCTGATAGGGTTCATTGTGAAGTGTTCGCAGGTTTGTGTATCTAGATTGTATAACTTGTAGCAAATGACGCAGTTTTGTAATTTTTTATTGTGCTCAACTATTTGATCAAACTCCTTTCTGACGTTATCCGGGGTTGTCCATCCCCGAATCTTACAGAGTGAGTTTAGAGCTTCTTTTTCTCTTCCACGTGATAACAACCATACTGGTGTTTCTGGAACCTTAAAAATGCAGAACTGTGATGAGATTAGTTCAACATTATATTATCTACCAATGTTAGTGCGTAATATTGTCTAAAATTTGTCCTAATACACCAGTGATATCGTTATTTGTTATGTGACATACGAAAAACTATTTATTTATTGTGTCGCGAATGGTGGCTTCGAAAACATTTATCGGTAAACATTTGTTAATTGAAATTTGAAGTATTGGTTTGCTCCGCTTTAAAGTTAAAATATTAATATTCTCGGTTAAAAATATCTTCTTCACTTCACATATTTTTTGGCTTTAAAGCAATGGAACACCAGAAAACTAAGTGAAAGTGTTTAAAATCTACTGCTGAACGTGAGCTTCTACCGTTTTATTTGCTATAATCACTATGCTGAGCAGGTCCTCGTATCAGTTCTGAATATTTAAAAGGTACAAACTATCCGTCTTACTTCGAGTTACAGTCTTCGTCTCATTTCTACGACGATTCTCATTTCTAGTACGAGTTTTTTTAATGTTTTTTCCACCGTCGAATACAGAGTCCTAGGCATAATATACTAGATGATACACCGGCAACTGTTATAGATCATCACAGTTTTTTGCCCTTTTAAATATTCGCTTTTTGCGACGTCAAGACGCCGATCTTTTACGCCATTGCCATTTCAGATCCTAACACAGATTTATTGCCATTTTCTGAGCAGTCATTGTTGAAATTATTGCCAAGATCCCCATAATACACACATATATTACGAAATCCTCGGCATACATGTTGTATCCCGAGGGTATCGTAATAGGCAAGTGTAGAACATGGCAAAATGACCTCCTGAATAAGATGGCGCATTATTAAGTAATAAGGTCTACTAACGACCACACAGTTCAACTGATGATAAGTTAATTCTGTGACCCATACACTTCTTCACCTACACTCGATTAAGAATCAATTTAGCCCTAAGGACTAGACTAGATGGCATGCCCCGTTTCCAGTGAAAGGGACTCCGGTTCTCTACAGTCATCATACGAAATACAGCAGCATTTTCGCTGTCTCGTGTACTACATATAGATCATTGATATTGCCTTATTATTGTGTCTAAAACAGGACAGTGAAAGTGTTAAGCTACTATTTAACACCCGTATTCTATGAGAACGTAGTACTTCCACGGACGAGCCGTCTCATTCGTGCTACAACCGTAATATAGCTGCATCATGGCTCTACAACGTAGACCGTCTGCTTAAAGTGAAAATGAGGAAGGGCTATCTTCAGTAATGGACTCGAAATGGATTGATGGGCTGTAATGAATGAATAAAATGTGAGATTCGTATCCTATTTGTGTTGTACTATTATTTATAAGTTTACATACAAAAATCACTAAAGCCATTGCGCTTAAGGGAACCGCAATACTAATCAACGCCGCATGGCGCCAGTCAACAACAGCTCCGATGAAAAACATTATAAATGTACCCAGTGATAGAAATAGTTGAGTGAAGGTACATAGTGCACCGCGTACTGACGGTTCGCTGAAAATAAATTGAAAATTAAATACATATGTGAATAAAAAATCAAATCAAATATCTTTAGCATGTAAACAAAACACTTATAAACGTCAACATAACATAATAATAATTATTATTACCTAGTGTTCACACTATACTCATACAGAGATAAAGAGCTACGACTAAATGTCTTTGGCGAATTTATGTTAAGTATATCTTATTAAATTTCGATTGTAGATCTTTGGGTATCTTATTGAAGAAGCGTACACGGAAACGGAAGGAACCACTAATTTATGCTTATTTCAAGTGTTCAATTTATGAATGTCACTTTTTATTCTAAATAATGAAATATTTTTATATACATAAATATTTTTTTTATTTCGAATAGATATACTACGAAGCTACAGTCAACATGTTAATTTCTTTAAACAATTCCCTCAAAGACTTTCGGGAGTTTAAATTGTAAATTGCTCGTATAGCTCTTTTTTGAATGACAAATACAGATTCAATGTCTGATGATTTGCCCCCAAAAGTATTCTATGTGACAATAGACTATGAAAATAGCTGAAATAGACCAGTGTTGCAGTGTCGATATAGCGAAACCGCTGACACAGTTTATTGTTAAGTGAAGCTATGTGACAATTCCAATGAAGTTTATTATCTAGATTAATTCCTACAATTTTTTTGGGCTGAATAATATCTACTTTGATGTTGTTTAAAATGATATTATAGTCAACGCTCTTCACACTTGGAAAACAGAATTTGATATTTATTGTAGAGTTAAGTGCTAAATACTTTTTTGGAACCAATCTGATACTCGCGCAAGAGTTTACGTCGTCAAAATTGTGTTTTTTTTCTGTCAATCTTAAAAACAGGAGATTTGTCGTTAGCAAACAATATAATATCAAATAGGTTATTCACTACATATGGGAGGTCGTTTGTGTAATACAGAAACAAAAATAGCCCTAAGATCGAGCCTTGCGGAACGCCTAAGTTTATTTTAGAATGTGACTTAACACTATTGACTTCTACTATCTGAATTTACTCACTAAGATATGACGTGATTAATATGAGAGCCATGTCCTCAACCCCGTAGTGATTTAATTTCAGAAGTAAGTTAGCATGTGGTCAACACAATCGAATGCTTTGGATAAATCGCAAAAACGCCTATCGTGTTCTATTTTCCCATGAGTCGAAAATATGTTAGATCAGTGAAGAACCAGCGTCAGTTGTCGATCTGCCTTTTAAAAAGCCATGTTAAAGTTGAAGTACGTGATTAGTTGATTTAACATTACTTTTCAAATATTTTACTGAATACAGGTAGAACTGTAACTGGTCTAAAGTTTGATGGGTCCTCTTTATCCACTGTTTTAAATAAAGGTATAATATATTTTTAACAAAATATAATATATTTTGCCTCATTTCATTAAATCAGGGAAAAGTCTATATTCTATACACTTATTGAAGATAATAGCAAGAACAGGGGCAGCATTTTTGATAACAGAACTAAATATTTTCACTGAAAAACCCCAAAGTCCTCAGTTTTCCACATATTTAAAGGTTTAAAACTAAATTTCTGAGTACTTTTTGCTTTATAGGCTTGCATTACTTGTATATCAAGTCAACAAGATTATTTTAGTGATTCTATTGTGGTGCTATTAACATTAGCAAAGAAATAACTAAATGCGTTAGCAACATAAAAATTTAAAGTAATTAAGCGATGATCTTCAAACAGTACTTCTTTTCTTTTAGTTTTTTTTTACAAAACCAGGGGAATTGCAGATGCGTTGCCGGCCTTATAGAAATGTGTCAGCTCTTTTCTTGAAGGTACCTAAGTCGTATCGGTCCCGAAAAATCGCCGATGGTAAACATTCCACAGAGAAGTTGTACGAGGTAAAAAACTCCAAGTAAAATGCACAGTGGTGGACCGCCAAGCATTGAGATGGTGAGGATGGTATCGTGAATTTTGACGCGATGTGATTTCGTGAAATTTGGTAGCTGGAATTAATCCAAACGATTTCTCAGAACACTCTCCGTGGTAGTTTCGACAGAAAATGCAAAGGGCAACATCCCTATGCAGCGCCAGTGAATCGAGCCGATCAGAAAGAGCTCGGTCGTCAACGATTCGAACCGCTCTGCGCTGGATGCGGTCAAGTAGAAGGAGCGGGCACTGGGGTGCCTCGGCCCAGTGATCACAATATTCCATGTGTAGTCAAACTTGTGCCTTGTAAAGTTGGTAGTGATGTGCCGGCATGAAATACTGTCTCGCTCTGCTGAGCACGCCAAGCTTTTTAGAGGCCAATTTGGTCTTCCCTTCCAAGTGACTACGAAACTGCACACTATTCGATATGTCGACGCCGAGGATTCCGATGCTAGCTGAGGCAGCAAGGGGAGTGTCTTGAAACTGAGGAGATACGACAAAGGGGCTCTTTTTAGCAATTAACGTTACCAGTTTGCAATATATCATTGATATGCAAAAGAAACAGCGTTGGTGATAGCACGCAGCCTTGTGGAACACTAGCATTAGTGGGCTTGTAATCAGAGCATGTATGATGACTACGACCTTGATGCTCCGATCAGTAAGGAAACTGGTGATACAAATGCACAATTTATCGGGAAGCCCATAGGAAGGGAGCTTCGAAAGAAGCGCTTTGTGCCAGACCCGATCGAACGCCATCGCTATTTCCAAACTAACGGTCTATGTCTCCCCTTTGTACTCAACTGCCTTCGCCTATCCCATTATTTGTTATATGCCATGTTGTTTTAGTTATGTTATTTGATTTTGTAATTATTTTACTTATGTATTGGGATTTAGCCGTATTCATATAAAGATTTTAGGGCATTTGAAACGCCATTCAATCGCGTTTGACTAAGCGAATCGCCCGATGGTGTGAGGTGACGTGCGGTCGCCGGGGGAGGGGGGGGACAGCGGTATGCAGCTTCCCGGCATTCGGCTCTCGTGGGTGAGGGACTGTAGCTTGAGAGCAGCGGCGCGGTCGATTTTGTGGTGACCGCTGCAGCGGTTTCGCGCGACCAGTTTTGGTTTTGTGGTTTAGATTTTTAGTATTTGTTTTTTTTTTATAGGATAAGGGTGACAAACGAGCACACAGTCCACCTGATGGTAAGTGGTCGCTGTGGCTCATAGACATCTACATCTATCTTCGATTAAGAGTCAAAATGCAGATGCGTTGTCACCGGTGAGGACTAAGATACTCGTTTCCAGTAAAAAGGGTCTTCGGTTCTCTACACTCACCATACGAAACACAGCAGCGTTAAGCTGCTATTTTACGCTGGTATTCTGTGAGAGCGTGGTCCTTCCCCGGTCGAGCCGACCCATTCGTGCTACAACCATAACTCTACCACGAATAAATTTGTGCGCGTTTAATTCGCTATTGAATTTGGGGGTTTCGTGGAGACCACCTCGAGTAAGTTTGTCTGAGTTGTATGTTCGTGACAAGAGGCTTGTATTGAATTTGGCTCATTAAAGTAATTTCGTTTGAAAGTAATTGCGTCAATTGTATAGTGATTGCGTGTTGAAGAGCATTTTGCAATATTTAACTTGCTTGTGTGACGTGGAACATTGCGCGCACGTCGAGTAGTCATACGGTCTGGAATTTGAAGCTCGCATTCCATTTCGAGGCCGTGGCCCGGTTAATTGTTTTTGGAAGTCATTGTTTAATTGTACCGTCGCGTTAAGAGCCTTTTGTTTCTTGACTCTGTAGTTAGTTTGCGTGTCATAATAAGGAATATTCCAATCTCAATGTCTAAATAGTAACGTTAAAAACTTCAACTTCTATTTTGCCAGCCTTAGGGTAGAGTTTTATATTGAGCCATATCTAAGTATAATCTAAATATTTAAAAAAAACAATCGAATTTGTAACATTTCCCTTTTATCTCCGACTGCGATGCAATTTTTATTACTATCTCCTTTAAAGCTAATTGTCTGTTTTCGATCAAACCTAAGACAGATAATCTATGTAATCTGAACAGTGCATAAATCATTTTCAAGTCTCTAGTCATCTATTTGACTTAAAATAGAGATTTTCATATACCTACACACAAAATAGCGAAATTGAAGGGACCGGGCATTTTATTGCGTTATAAAAATGTTCGTTAAATGGAGAGTAAAGGAAAACAATATAATTTTGTTTTTCGAAATGGTAGACACAGTGGATGGACTGAATCCAAAACGTTTTGTAACATCACTTTTTCTTTCTCTCTTTTATATTGCGCAAACTAATTACACTTTTTCGTCAATACACAAATTCTTTCTTTTACTATCGATATTTACAGGTTCAAAAATTTGAAAGCAACTAAGAATAAGATACACAACCCATAACAATAAGTCGATAGTAGGAAGTAAAGTAAGTAAACACGTGCTAGGTAATTACGATAAACAAATTAACACATTTCTAAGAATCCTATTGTACGTATGACATATTTTAACTCTGTAGCAGTATTGTGTTTAAAATTCAGTAAAATTAATGTTTATCATCATCGTCATCGTCATTACAGCCCTTCACAAGTCCACTGCTGAACATAGGCCTCCCCCAAGAATTGCCACAAAGCACGGTCCTGAGCCACCTGCATTCATTGAATTTCTGCATGTCTCACCAGGCCGTCACTTCATCTAGTAGAGGGTCACCTAATACTTTCCCTACCGATACGAGGCTGCCGCTCGAGAAACTGTTTTCCCCATCGGTTGTTAGTTCTTCGAGGTATATGTCCAGCCCATTGCCACTTCAGCTTACTAATCATTTGGACTATGTCGGTTACTCTGGTTCAACGTTTTAGGGTTTTCGTTAAATAGAACTTCGCTGTATAGAGCCTACGATGTTATACATATATAATATTATATATATATATATATATATATATATATATATATATATATATATATATATATATATATATATATATATATATGTTAAAGTTGGGTTACATAACTAGTAGTCTAACTTTGGTATACATATCATACTTTATCATACTATACTTACATAGTAATATGTAAAGTTTTTAATTCTTATGTCGGAATTGTACAGAGATTTTATTTCAATTCATACCTTATTTCTCCCACATAAGCGGTAATAGGTGCTTCCATTATACCAGTTCCTATTCCCAGTAAAGCGGTTGCTATAAACAGCGTAGGTATATTCCACGCAAAGTACATAAGTATCCAAGCTATTAAATGGGGCAAATTAACTAAGAAATTTGCCAGCCTTCTTCCAAAATAATCTACGATAGGGCCAGAGAGGACCGCTCCAAAGGGTTGCGTGAGAAATAAGAGACTGCCTGAAAAGTAAATAAAATAGTTAGTGTCATTTTCATTTTCATTCACTGATAATATTATTTAAATGTTAATTATAATTATTATTTAATATAACGTAAATAAAATTAAGGACATACATTATATTTACGTTACGAATTTGCTATGTGTGTTTCGCAAGGTTAGTAGACATGACTGAAACTCTTTTACGTGGTAGAACAATGGTGCCCATGAACCCGGGGCCCCCAACTCTGCAACTCATTGCGAAACCACTTCGCCGAGGAGCCGCCGAATATTAGTTATATAGTTGTAGCAGGAATGGGTCGGCTCGACCGGGGAACTACGCTCTCACAGAATACCAGCATAATATAGCAGCTTAACGCTGCTATGTTTCGTATGGAAAATGTAGAGAACGGGACACCCATTTTATTGGAAATGAGGCATTCCATCTTAGTCCTCACGGGTGACAACGCATCTGTATTTTCATTTGTAATCGAGGATAGATGTAGATGTCTATGTGCCACAGCAGATTGTGTGCTCGTTGGTCACCCTCATCCTATAAAATAATAATAATTTATGTATTATTTATTTATGTTTAGTATATTTAATATATATTTATGTATGATTATCATTTCCTCTTATATATTTATTCAGCCCAACCAGATGAGAATACTTTATAAATATCCCAATAATAATAATTATGACACGAATAAAAAACGAAGAGTGAATGCAGGACACAGAGTAAAATGGGCTCTTCACACTATTGTAGAAAGCCTGAATGTAGTACTTAAAAGTACGAGTAATTGTGTTAGTTCCTACCGTCTTCTACATGGTATTAACCATACATTGACGGACTGACAGAAGAAGCATGAAAGTAGAATTAATGTTATTGAAATGAGCTCATTAAGAAGAATGTTGAAGTGACTCTGAATGGTATGGTAAGAAATGATGAGATGATAGAGTAAGTAATTGTGTCCTGAGATAGAAGTGTACTATGTAGTGGCAGTGTAAAAATATCTTCTACCTCATATCGTCCCGTGGGTGTCGTAAGAGGCGACAGAGGGAAATTGAAACAGGTGATAAACATGAACATCTCGTGATAACAATTCTAAATAATAATAAATCATCACACCTTATGAAGGTATTACTGACGTTTTGGAGCTGAGTAACTGGTTTAACTAACTTGTACTTGTTCCTAATATTTACCACTATTTTTATTAAAACTATTTTTGATTTTGGTACATAATTACCTACGTAAAATTTTCGTAAATATACTAAGAGTCCAAAGTGAGTACCTATTTGTTTCTTTGAATTTTTCTCTATTTCGAGAAAAGCAATAAAAACAATTGTATACCAGTGTGCTTTTAAATAGGAAGCTTTGTTGAATCCACTATTCAACAAAGCTCACCTTCTCCCTATTTAAAAGCACACCGGTATTCTACTGTTTAAAATTAAGCTGGGTGAATTTAATACATTTAGTTTTATTTCCTTCTATGTGTCCACCAAAAAAGAAGACAATCAAAGACATAATTGATTCAAAGAATATTTAAGTTATGTTTTTAGATTTTATAATTTGGTTTTTATCTGATTTTAACATTATTTTAATTTTGTTTTTGCGACAAATTGTGTCCTTGCACGCCGTTACAAATGACCGCGCGCCCGCTTGAATCTTCAAGCGGACGCGCGGTCATTTGTAACGGCAATTGTAAAAACAAACGAAAAATCAACGAAATATCATAAGCAAATAAAACTGTATCATCGTTATTCCCTACCAAGTAAGGTAAGTCAAACAAGTCAAAGAGTTGAGCCCTACGGAAAACTCATAGATACTACCGACCCGGAAGAACTACTCGCCTTAATCACAACTTTTTTTTTTAATATTTAATGTATACAATTTTAAAAATTAAAATAAATAAAACTAAAACTAGTAACTTGATTATCATACAGTCCTACTCCCCGCGGTATCGTGCCAATTTTTTGTGTTGTTTTATTTAAATATGATGTAATACGTTTGAGTGCTACGTTTTTTAACACCATAATGATGTAGCTTTCTGATTTTGATTCTGATTTCTGCAGTATCCACTTACCACCAGGTATACTGTAAGTTTGTTTATCATTTCAGTTTTATATAAAAATAATGTTGTGACCAGGATTAAGGAAGGAATACTTCAGTGGGTTTCGTAGAAAGAATGAATAAGAAAAGAGTGATAAAGTCGGCAAAGGAGACCCTAGATGGAACTTAACTTTGACGGAATATTGGCTATATTTTTTTATAGAATAAGGGTGACAAACGAGCACACAGTCCACCTGATGGTAAGTGGTTGCTGTGGCCCATAGACATCTACATCTATCTTCGTTTGCGAATTAAAATTCAGATGCGTTGTCAGCCGTGAGGACTTAGATAGAATGCCTCTTTTCCAGTAAAGAGGGTCTCCGGTTCTCTACCCTCACCATACGAAACACATCAGCATTAAGCTGCTATTTTACGCTGGTATTCTGTGAGAGCGTGGTCCTTCACCGGTTGAGCCAACCCATTCGTGCTACAACTATACTACCTAGTCAGGTCATAAATTCTGTCACATGTTTAATATAAAATAATTGAAACAAGTTTATTCATTATGTAACCATTTATATGCCAAAATGAACTTAACAAAACATAGATTCTTATGACACTAAAGTTTATTCAAAATGACCTCCGTGATTTTGAATACAGGCCTTCAATCTGCGCGGCCAGTCGTCTATTGCAGCACGAACGAGGTCCATGTTAATATCGGCGGCTGCCTTAATCAAGGATGTCTTGAGTGACTCCAAATTGGGATGAGACTTTGAGCACGCCTTTTCCTCCAAGTGTTGCCATATCTTGTAATCTAACGGATTCAAATCTGGACTGGAGGAGGGCCAGTCTTCGTGCCGGATGAAGTCGATTTCACGCGCCGCCAGCCAGTCTTGTGTGCTCTTCGCTCTATGAGCTGGCGCCGAATCTTGTTGGAATACCCAGTGCCTGTTATTGAACATGGTATGAGAAACAGGTTCCACAAGGTTCGTCAGGACTGTATTTTGATACACAACTGCATTCGTTTTTACACCTTTCTCACAAAAATGTACCTCTGTTAAGCCCCAATAAGAAACTCCCAACCATACCATGAGCGAGGATGGAAAATGACCTCGTTGGACACGCGAAATACGGTTGCTCGTTTTATCACTACTGTGTGCGTACACCTTATCATTTTGTTTGTTGTAGCTCTGTCAAAAATTTGAATTGGCGCGTAACCGCAACGATGCAACGCAATAACTGCAACACGGTCTTCTTTAAGCGTCCACTCCATATTTAAAAATGAGTAAAATTCTAAAAAATATACAGTTTTATTTTCATGAACAATTCGAAATTCGAATTCAATAAACTTTTTTGTGGCCAGCATTCTAAAAGAAAAGTTTTTACTTTGTGACAATACTTATGACCTGACTAGGTATTAATATAGCAGTAGCATGGCTCTACCACGTACTATATATTAAGACTAGCATGAATGCGTAGATATACGGACGTGAAGGAGGCGAGAGAGGTGTATCAGTACCGTGACAAATTGAAGTCTATAGTATCTGTCTTCCAAATTTTAGAGTTTATTATGTATATTTTCAACTAATAAGCAAGTTAATATTAAGTTTTGCGGCTACTGGCATGAACCTTATTGATTGTAAAATAAAAGTGTGCACATAAATGATATGATTCAATTGCTTGCTTCCCTTTCCACTAGGTTACATCGGATGATCGGCGGGTCTCTTGTCGAAATTCCATGTATTCGAACCGTATAATTTTGTGCATCTTTAAAAAAAACTCACCAAACCAAGACGCTTGAATATCATTAAGTGATAATCCATCAGGTGCGTTAAGAAGTACTGGTAACGCTATGGTTGTGAAGTTGACTGCCATCCCAATATCAAGTAGGAGAAAGTTTGATGACAACGATGCTATAACCTGTAACAAATATATGGTTGAATTAAATTATCATGGATCAGTGATCAAAGTTATTACTTTTCTATTACATATACCTATTATATACCTTCATCTAGGAAATAATGAATAATCGATACTTTATGAATGCTACAAAAAATCGGGAAGTTATTGGTTTCAGTTTTCGAAAATCGAGGTTTTGTCAGAACTCAACGTATTGAGGTCCTAAGAAGCTATTTTGACTATTCCTACGAGAATGTTACTATGTCTATATGTATGTGTGTAAGTGTGTGTATAGGGATATATATTATGTATAACTTCTGAATGGCTTGAAAGGACTTCACTTAACAAAGATTTTCTATACCATTAGAACCAATTCGGACCAGTAGATTTGAGAAATCTTAAACATAAATTTTTCTAAAAAATGTTATTTTGAAATAACTTTTAAACAGCTGTATCGATCAATACCAAAATCCAATAAGCTCTTAAACTCAAAAACCCTGTCGATTGCTGCAAAGCACATCAAAATCGGTTAATGCTTTGTTAAAAATAAAAATACGTGGTTTTTCAAAATTATTTAAATGTTTTTAATATTTTACTAATAATATAAATTTTAATATTTATTAATAAAATAAATATATAAAAGGTGGAATTTAAGCGCTTTGCATTTGAAATTAGCCGGAAACTCCAGGGATGGCTTGTAGGGTCAAACGTATTTTCTTCTTTTACATTGGCATTTAAGACGTGCTGGCTCCGCAACTTTAGCAAATAAGACTAACACTCGTAATTTCATATGTTCTGTGTGCGGTGTGAGAACTCGCATTGTCGTGATGGAGGATGATGCGGCGGCTGCAGTTCTCTTTACGGAGTTCAGACGCGACCTGTGGCAAACAAATGCTAGCATACCGTTCTGCATTAACCGTTCTTTGTCCCTCAAGAGGAATAGTCGTAACATGGCCGGTTTTGGAGACAAACGTGGCCACCATTTTTTTTGCAACACTCCGTGAACGAACAATTTTTGTTGGCTTTAACTCATTTTCGAACACCCAAACTCGTGACTGGTTTTTTGTTTCGGGTTCGTACGCGTATATCCAGGATTCGTCACCTGATACGATGTTGAATACAGCATTTGAGGTTCCTGCGTGGAATCTTTCGAGATTCCTGACGCACCAAGTAACGCGAGCCGCTTTTTGCTCTTCACAGAGCGAATGCGGTATCCATCGGGAAAACAACTTTTTTATACCTAATTGTTCATGCAAGATTATTTGTATTTCACTCATGCCAATTTCCAAAGTTGCCTGAATTTTGCGGTATGTCACATGTCGATCTTCCTGAATCAGCTTACGCACAGCATTAACGTTTTCTTGGGTGACTGCAGTTTTTGGACGACCTTGACGGGGATCATCACTGAGCTTGACACGTCCACGTTGAAATTCAGCAAACCAGCGATAAATTGTGGTTTTGGTTAGGGCTTCATCACCAAATGTAGAAATCATCCGGTCAACATACTGTTTTTGTGTTAAACCACTTCGAAAGTCATAATAAATCATCGCTCTTGAATTTTCTCGAGTCAATTCCATTTTCTCAACGACTAAACAAGTTTGACAAAACCTTGTGACGAGACCGAGAATCTTTTTTTAAATAAATAAATGGTATTCGATTTTTAAAACCAAGGAGTTTTCAATTAAAAAGATATTAATATGACAGGAACAGTGGAAATATTCCATTCCCGATACTTTTAGTGCAGCCTATGTATGCTTTAGTTGTACATATTAATGATATTTTACCTTGAAATCGGCGGTAAAAAAGTCGTGAGAAAATTTGCGTGTTTGAGAAATGAACGGTATATGGTAACGTAAAAATAAAATTTCAAAGCGTCTATATTTCACAAAATGAGAAGAATTCAAACGGTAATTGGACGTTGTGCTCGTAAACGAGATCGGCACTATATTCCGATAGATCACCATCTATAGGAAGTCGTAAGATTGTTCTGACATTTCTTACTGCACCGCACGGTAAAAATAAAGATTAAGTACATAATATTGCCATTTATTGGCAGCATAAGAAAATCAACTATCTCCTACCACCACGTAGGTGTTGTATGATGCGACAGAGGGTAATAAAACAGGAGATAATCAGATGCATCTTCCTGATAAAAACTCAAAAATTTTATACAACACAAAAGTTTTATACGTGTTCGAGCCGTAATGCAGGTATAGTTAACACATATGGGCTGGCTCCACTAGGGAAATACCACGCTCTCACAAAATACGAACAGCATAAAAAAACAACATTCACTTACTATCAATTGGACTGTGTAGTCGTTTGTAATATATTATTTTTGCCCATATTCTATAAAACAACACTACAGTTGCCAAACCGCCTGTCAACTATGGCAAGTATGAGACCTATGAGATAATCTATGGGAAAGGCGAACAGACCTTGCAGTCATCATCATCATCATCATTATAGCCCTTCATAAGTCCACTGCTGAACATAGGCCTCCCCCAAGGAATGCCACAAAGCACGGTCCTGAGCCACCTGCATCCATCGACTTCCTGCATTTCTTACCAGTTCATCATTCCATCTAGTGGGGGACGCCCTACACCTCGTCCGCCGGTACGAGGCCGCCACTCGAGAACCTTTTTCCCCATCGATTGTCAGTTCCTCGAGCTATATGACCAGCCCATTGCCACTTCAACTTACTAATCTGTTGGTCTATGTCGGTCACTCTGGTTCTACTGCGGATATCCTCATTTTTAAGTTTATCACGCAGAGAGACTCAAAGCATAGCCCTCTTCATAGCTCGCTGAGCGACCTTGAGCTTCCTCATACGGCCAACAGTGAAGGACCATGTCTCAGTTCCATAGGTCATCACTAGTAACACGCACTGGTTGTACAGTCTCGTTTTCAAGTTTTGAGGTATACCTGACGAGACGATGTGCCGTAATTTCCCGAACGCTGCGCAGCCGAGTTGAATCTATCGATTGACCTCTCGGTCGAAGTTGTTACCTACCTTGTCTGACTATTTGTCCCAGGTAAACATACTCGTCAACAATTTCGAGCTTAGTGCTCCCAACAACTACCGGTATAGGTGTGACATGGACGTTATACATGATCTTTGTTTTGTCCATGTTCATCTTGAGAGCTATCCGTTGGGAGGCACTATTGAGGTCATTGCACATAGCGCTTAGGTCCTCCAGCGATTCTACCGTAAAGACTATATCGTCGGCAAATTGAAGGTGAGTGATGTACTCACCTTCAATTTGCCAAGGAAACATAGTAAAGTCATACCTATATTTCAATCTGGTAGTACATTAGACCCCGCCAATTTTAGACCAATTTCTGTACTACCAACATTAAGTAAAATTTTTGAAAAAATTATTTTAGATCAGATGTTAAGTTTCTTTAATATTAATAAATTGCTACATAATAATCAATTCGGTTTTACAAGGGGTCGCTCGTCAACTGACGCTGGAGTTGAGCTTATTAAACATATTTTTTGTGCATGGGGGAATTCAGAGGATGCTTTGGGTATATTTTGTGACCTTTCCAAGGCCTTCGACTGTGTTCACCATGAGACATTAATCAGGAAGCTACAGTACTATGGTGTCAAGAACACAGCGCTTAAACTTATTATTTCATATTTAAGTAATAGAAAACAGAAGGTTATTATCAATGGTAAAAGTTCTTCCGGGTCACCTGTACTAATGAGTGTACCTCAGGGCTCGATTCTCGGCCCATTCCTGTTTCTGGTGTATATTAATGACTTACCTCACCTTGTAGGGGATAGTCATGATATAGTATTATTTGCTGATGATACTTCCTTGATTTTTAAACTTAAACGTCAATCATTTAAATGTGACGAAGTGAATAATGCTATATCAAAATTAGTGCATTGGTTTAACGTTAATAATCTGCATTTGAACGGAAATAAAACTAATTGTGTTAAATTTACAACAACGAATGTTCAAAATCTGAATACCAATGTGTTTTTAAATGGGGAGGAATTGAGCCCTGTTGTATCCACTGTTTTTCTTGGCATCACTCTTGACGCAAAGCTCCAGTGGGGCCCCCATATATCCAAATTAGCAAGCAGACTAAGTTCTACAGCCTATGCTGTAAAAAAGATTAGAGGTCTCACCAGTGTCGAGACAGCTAGATTAGTTTATTTTAGTTATTTTCATAGCATAATGTCTTATGGGATTTTGCTATGGGGAAATGCGGCTGATTCAGAAACTATTTTTGTTTTACAGAAGAGGGCCATTAGAGCTATTTACAATCTAAAACCGAGAGAGTCTCTTAGAGATAAATTTAAAGAAATTAATATATTAACTTTGGCCTCTCAGTATATTTACGAAAATTTAATGTATGTTCACAAAAACAAAGATAGTTTTAGTAAAAAAAGTGATATACATTCTGTAAACACTAGGAACAAACACAAGCTAGTGATACCAGTTTCTCGACTCCACAGAGTCAGTAATTCATTCTTGGGGCAATGTATACGCTATTACAACAAGGTCCCGGAAAGTGTACAGGTTCTCTCTATTACCAAGTTTAAATGTTTTATTAAGCTGAAACTGTATAAAAAGGGTTATTATAGTATAAATGAATACATGGTTGATAATAACCCCTGGGAATGAGGTGATCGCTTCCAAGCAGTTTCTAAAATAAATTTTGTAAATAGTTCGTAATCATTTATATTGTAAAATTTATTTTAAAAAAAAGTCCCGCTGGGTTTCTTGCTGGTTCTTCCCAGGGCAGAGGGTTTTTTTCGAACCAGTGGTAAAGTAAAAAATGACTTTCAATAAGAATTACACATGTAATGTATATTGAATAAAAAATATTCTATTCTATTCTATTCTATTCTATTATATTCTACTCGCCTTTGATGTTAATACCGTATCCTTTCCAGTCCAGCAGCTTTAAAACGTTTTCTAATGCAGCGGTGAAGAGTCTCGGGGATATAACGTCACGCTGTCTTACACCTCTCTGCAGTTGAATAGGTTCCGTACTCTGGTTCT